CGACGATTTAGATATGACTTAAACCAGTTCAGAGCAATTCCCCATACACCATAATGATACAGCTTTGATAATAGAATTTCATGGTCGACAGTATCAAATGCTTTTTGCAAATCAACAAACACTCCACCAGCAAACTGTTTATGATCTAAAGCCTCACGTATGGTTTCAGTTATATCTATGAGTGCTTGGTTAGAGGAAACAAACAGTTATATCTATGAGTGCTTGGTTAGAGCAAACTATATAAGCTATCTGATAGATTTAAAAAACTTAGTAGCCTGTTATACATTAGCTTTTCAATTAGTTTACCTACATTTGAGAGTAAGGATATAAAACGATAGTTACAAGGATCTTGTTTACAGCCGCTTTTAAAAATTGGAACAATTTCTGCAATTTTGAATAAGTCAGGAAATATCCCTGATTGGAAAGATTGATTTATTAAAATACTCAAGGGGAAACTCAATTCTTGGGACGCTAAGGTCATTATTTTTGAAGGAATGCTATTGGGTCCAGTGCTTTTTTTCGGATTCATGAGTGAGATATAGTCATTTATTTCTTGAGAAGTAACTGGGGATATAAAAAAAGAATCAGGATTTTGGTTTTTTAGATAGTGGCTGAAGTGAAATCTAGGAAGTATAATTTCTTTAGCAAGATTATTTGCAATTGATGAGAAGTAATCATTAAATGTGTTTGTAATTATTTCCTTGTTAGTTATAGTTTTATTATTGATATTTAAACTATCTATGTTATTGTTGTTCTTTGATTTAGTAGAAATAATACTCCTTATTCCTTTCCAGGTGTTCCTAAGGTTATTCAGATTTTCATTAAAGTAGATTGAGTAATATGTTTTTTTTGAGTATCGCAGTAGGTTACTAATTTGATTTCTATAATATTTGAATTTTTGGAAGTATTGTAGCTTTAAATTCTCATTTTTGCATTTAATGAACTTCTTGTGCAACTTATTTTTAATTTGTATTGACGTAATGATTCCTTTGGTAATCCATGGCTTCGATAAAGATTTATTAGCTTTTTTGGTAGACATTTTGAAAGGGGCATGATTATCAAGTAATCTTCTAAGTGTATCCAAAAACTTAGAGGTAAAGTTATTAACACAATAGTTCCCTTGTTGGTTTATTGAGAGCCAATCAGTTTCTTTTAAGTCTTTAAGAAACTTTTTTTCATCAAAATTTTTAAAACATCTACGATATACTTTGGGAAGAGACTGTTTTAAGTTCTTGCATGGAAAGGATATGAACTGAATAAGATGGTCAGCAAGCGATACTGTTAGATTGCCTGATTTAGTATTTGGTGTGTGAAAGTTTACAAATATATTATCTATGAGTGTCTTTGATTTTGGAGTAATTCTGGTTGGTTGAGTAATTAATGGGAAGAGGGAGGAAGAGTACATAAGATCTAGAAAGTTAGAAGCATCATTACAAGATTCATATTTTAAAAGATTAATGTTGAAGTCTCCTAAAAGAACTATATTTTTATTCTCTAGTGATAACTTGTCAAGTAGGGTTTGTATATAAGTGATAAAGAACTCACTAGTGTTCATACAAGGGTGGCGATAAATGCAACCTACAATAATATTTTTTTCTGATGGCAGTAAGACTTCAATAAAGGTTGATTCTAGTTCTTTTTTTTTTCTGAATTTTGAGGTCAGGTCTTTAGATATAATTTAATTCAGATCTTATATATATAATAGTTCCTCCTTTATTAGAATGAGTATCAGTACGTTCAAAGACATAGTCATTTAAATTGATATCAGTTCTAAGTGTTTTGTCGTGATTTAAGCGAGTTTCAGATATAGCAATGATATTGGGTTTATTATTCATAAGGGAAAGCAGAAGTTTTAGATCCTCAAGGTATATTACCTTGAGGATCTAAAACTTCTGCTTTCCCTTATGAATAATAAACCCTCAAGGTAATATGCCAGGGATGATATATTTACATGTAAATAGGTTTGTGAATTAATACTAATAGCTTTGTTATACTCTGTAGTATCATAGTATTTACAATTAATATTGTCATTGTCAAGTTTATTTTGAAAGAGATTTTTTAGGTTAGAAGAAGTGTCATTAAACAAATTATGTGTAAAAGTATTTGCACCATTTGTAGTGACCTTAAAATCCTTATCTGTCAGAGAAGAGTATGGTAGAGTGTTTTCCAAGCAATTAAAAAGCAAGAGTCACATTTTATAGCTTTTTGATTGCATGTTACAGTTTTATAACAAACACCACAAGGAGACTTAACAACCATATTATTCACTTCAGCATTTGGGATGATGATAATGAGAAATGGGTATTTGGTTGAGCTAAATGTACATTTGTATTTTTATTAGGTTTTTATTTTTATTTTTAATTTATGAGTTTTATATATATTTTTTTTATTTATAAGTTTTATATTTTTATTTCTTTTTTCTGAATTTTTATTTTTATTTATGACTTTTATATTTTTATTTTATTAGAGTTTTTATTGGTATATTTGGTTTCAAATTTTAGTTTATATAGACTAAAAAAAATATATAATATTATATTTTATATACTAGTGAGATATGCAACACTGTGTGTGAGTATTTTGGTGAAAAGTAAGAATGTAATAGTATTTTCAAAGTAAAGAATGTAACACTTTTGAATTTATAATAAGAGATAAGGTATTAAATATTTATATTATAAAGTATAGTAAAATTTCTAAATAATAATAGTAAAATTTTTAAATAAATATTTATACTATAAAATATATTATAAATTAACAAGTCAAACTTATTTCTTCTTTCTTTTCTTTTCAAGAAGACTGTTGACACACTTTTTCTGGGCCGAAATATGTTTTCTTTTTGTGTTTCGGTAGACAATTATTGAACAAAACAACAGGATGAATATATATTAAAAAATTGTTGACCCAATTTATAAGAAAAATATATGTTTTTTAGAATGAAAGATCAGCAACAGCTCGCTTAGAATCACTAAGTATTAGTTTTCTCTTTTGTTGTTGACAGATCATGCTAGGTTGTACATATATAATATATGTACAACCTAGCATATATGTAATAATAAATAGTGTATTTATTAACTAATGTAAGTACATAGGTTTAACGCTATTAAATCAATCAGGAGTTTAGTTTTATGATACTCATAAGTAGTCCATAAATACTAACTATTTAATAACTACATAATTTAAAATTCACTACAAAGCTTCTTTAAACAAATAAGCTGATGCAAGCAAGTTCCAAGTGACATAAAACGGTTCAAACTAACAAACTGGTATCACGCAATATATGTTATTATTTTAATAAACTCAAAAATAAATTGGCCATTATTATTGCAGAGCATGTCCGGAAGCCATCTTTACCACCGCAAATCCTATTAAAATTTGAAAAATTTAATTAAATTATGAATGTAATATTAATAATAGCAAAAATAAAAGAATATATATATATATATTATATATATATATATATATATATATATATATATATATATATATATATATACTAGGTTGGTTGAAAAGTTCGCGGAGCGGAAATGAAAAAACAATTTTATGATTCAAAAAATGACTTTATTCTTCAGTATATTCTCCCTTAAGAGCAATACACTTTTTCCAACGATTCTCCAATTCATGTATCCCATCTCTGAAGTGCGATTCCGGAAGGCCTTCAAAATACCCATTTACGGCTGCAATGACTTCTTCATGTGATGAGAAACGCTTTCCACGTAGAAATTTTTTGAGATGTGGAAAGAGGTGGAAGTCGGACGGAGCCAGATCTGGTGAATAGGGTGGATGTTCCAAGCGTTCGTACTTTAATTCGACCAATTTCGCCTTTGCAACATCGCTGATATGAGCAGGTGCGTTGTCCTGGTGATAAATGATTTTTTTATGCAGCAAACCAGGTCTTTTCTCACGAATTTTTTTATCCAACTGGTCCAAAAGATTTTTATAATATTCACCTGTTATCGTTTTACCGGTTTGAAGGTAATCTATTAATAAAATTCCTTTCGCATCCCAAAAAACTGATGCCATAACCTTCTTTGACGATTTTGACGCCTTCACTTGCTTCGGAGCTGAACAACCGGGTTCTGTCCACTCTGCAGTTTGTTGTCGCAGCTTCGGATCATAGTGGTAAACCCAAGTCTCATCCATGGTTACGAATCGACGCACAAAATCTGTTTTATTCTTTTGAAAACGGGCCGAATGTTCTTGAGAAAGTTTTACTCGAGTGCGTTTCTGATCCAGAGTTAGCGAATGCGGCACCCATCTTGCCAACAGCTTTCTCAGACGTAATTCATCGTGCAAGATGTGTAATACCCGTTCATCTGAGATGCCCACAGCCTCAGCAATTTCACGTTTGGTCAATCGTCTATCATCCATAACCATGTCATGCACAGCATTAATCGTTTCTTCAGTAGTAGCACTTTTTGGACGTCCAGAGCGAGGGTCATCTTCAAGGCTTGAACGCCCACGTTGAAACTCCGCAGCCCATTTGCATACTGTTGTTTTTGAAGGAGCATCATCACCCAACACATTTACCATTTCATTATGAATTTCCATGGGCTTTAAACCTTTTTTCACAAAGAATTTTATTACAGCACGATGTTCAATATTTTCCATTTTAAAAAATACTATGACACGTCTAATTTCAATAGCTTGTAAACAAAGACTGAAATGACATATCGACTTGAAATTTTTTATGCGTTCATACGAAGAATGAATACGTTTAATACAGTTATAAATTTGTTTCTACTACTGCAACATAGGTGCCGCTCCGCGAACTTTTCAACCAACCTAGTATATATATATATATATATATATATATATATATATATATATATATATATATATATATATATATATATATATATATATATATATATATATATGCAATATTTTTTTTTAATCTTTGTTTTTTTATTTTAATTTTTTTATTTTTAAAAAATGGTAATGTATATGTACATTTTACTTTTCTTTCATCTTTTATTCTATATTATATAAACATAATTTAATAGGTTACCATAATGAGCTATTCAGCTAAATTTGCATCCTGTTTTTATGGTCCATTCAGGTATTTATCAGGTATCATTTAAAGTAAAGAGTTTAATAAGTTACTTTTACTTTATAGAAATTAATTGTTATTTATAATTTATTATTTATAGTTGTTATTATTATTATTATTATTTATCATTATTATATTTTTTATTATTATTATTTATCATTGCTGTTTATATTATATTATTATTACATTGTTGTTTTTACTTTTAATCATTTTTGTTTTCAAATTTTTAAATTAATTCTTTATTTGCTTTTTATGAATTTATGTTTTACATTTATATTATATATTTACATTATGTATTTATATATATATTAGTTTTATGTATTTATATTATATATTTATTTTGTGTATATTATTATTTTTTTACTAGCAACAATTTCTATAAAATATATTTTAAAAAATATCTCAGGCAATGTTTTTCTACATTCTAAATAAGTCTAAAACAAAATATTTCTTCTTAAAGAGATGCAGCTGCTTCTGCTCCTGCATTTGGTGATCGCAGGTGCTATCAACTTCCGCCACAGTCTTCTGGGCTAGCTAATAGATCAGTGGCATGTTTTTTTATTACTATTATCATTTTTTTTTTAAATTGCTTTTTTTGTCTTATTAATGCTAATCATGTACTGCTATTTTTTGTTTGGTTTAGTCTCGTGATGTTAGTGAAGGCGCTGATATTCTAATGGTCAAGCCAGGAATGGCTTATCTTGATGTTGTAAAAGAGATTAAGAACAAGGTTTCTTTATTTTAGTAGATATTAGTTTATTATGCTTAACAATACAAGCTTGCATTAATCATCTATATATAACATAATAATTTTAGTATAACATAACATTATGCAGATGCAGCAATATTTAATCTTAGCATGAATTAAAAATTTTTTAGACTGACAATGATTTGGTTATTGTGAAAATATTTATTGAGCATTTTATATTTTATTATTTATAATGTCATAGTTATGCATTAGTAAAGCACTTGTTTTGTGTGTGAGATATACAATCAGATGGTTTAAATCCAAAGACTTAGTGTAAAACCAAAATTTACTTTACTGCAATTATTTATGTATTCCGCTTATTTTGACTATTACTGTTATATATTATATATATATATTTAAAAAGATTTAATTGATTAAAATAGAATTTAAAAGTAGAATGCTTTTATTAAAGTTAATTTTTTTAAATTATTAATTTTTTTAATGTCATACAAAATAAATCTACTATTAAAGTACATAAAAATGCAATCGGGTAGCAATTTAAAAACAAACAAGGTAAGTATAACAAGTGTTTTAATGTTTGTTTTTAATTGTTTATGTGACATAATGATCGCATATAAGTGACCCTACCGCACCATCCAGTTACATAGACCTGGTAGATGACACTCATTCACTCATTCATTCATTTTATATTTTCCTATGATTTTTAATTTTTAATGGCACCATCTACAATTTAATTTTATTATCACATCTTCCAGGTCTATGTAACTGGATGGCTCCATTGGTCACCTATATGCAAATATTGTGTCCCATAAATAATTATAAACAAGATAAGTATGTGTTTGTTATCTATTAATTTTTTTTTTTATTATAAAAAATTTTATTGTGGCAGATTTTCAAAATGCTACTTTATATCTATTATAAAATTGATTATTAGGGTAATTTAGATTTAGAGTTTAAATTTTTAAGATAAGAAGATTTTATATTTGTGTGTATATATATACAACCTTCAGAATTAGGGTTGGCATTGGCCAACGCCAACCTGACAGGGCCCGATGAGTTTTAAAAATTAAATTTGTTTCATATTTCAAATTAATTAAAAATGGCAATATTCGCTTTGTATAATATATGCAATGACAAATACAATATATTTTGGTATGAATATTTGTTGTTCTGCCATGGTGATACTTTGAAAATCAGACAAATTTCAGTCAATTTGCTTATTTTTACTTATTTTTATGAAATTTACTAAACAAAAAAAAAAAGAAATTTTTAGATCTAGGTAGGTAAAAATTACTTTTATGGTAGCTTGTATCAAGACACATTATTTATTAAAATCCAACAAAGCGTTAGACAGATGTTTATGTTAAAATAATTAAATGAAAAATGTTATATTCAAGGTAATGCTGCCCGCAAGATCTAGTTCAATGTTGATATATAATATTTAATTTTAAAAGTATATGAAATTTAAGATTTTTATTTTTTGTTTATAACCATCTAGAAGAATTGTATATTTTAGAAATAATAAAAGATATATACAACAAAAAAGATTTTATAATGCTTTTTTTGTTAGATATAAGGGTATTACATCAAAACCTGGAAATAAATCTTTTTTTTTTAAAAAAAAAAGCTGCGTCTAATTCAAAAAAGTTAAGTCATATATATTGATTTAGTTTTTTGTTTGTTAATATTTTCGGAAATCTCTGAACAAACTTATATATATATGTATACTTATATATATATAGCATCTGCTGAATTTTTAGATATGTTTTAAATGAAGTAGAAGTTGGTATAATTTTATTTGTGAGATTATTTCCAACATTTGTAAAGTCTTTATTAAACTCGTTTGATATTTTATTTCGACAAAATATATCTGATTTGTTATTATTAATTCTTTGAGGCAATACTGAACTTTTCATTTGTCTTCGGCCATAAATTTTATTTGGAAATAAAGATCAAAAATATTAAAAAAGTTATAAGTTTGAAGAACAAAAACGAAGTTTGCTCAAAGAAACAGAAAGGTTTATTTACTTAGGTTAAATAGTCATACTTTAAGATGCTGTAACTAGAATGTTATTTGTTTTAATAAGTTTTGTCTACTTATTTATAACAGCCAGCCACAAGTTTTACTAGAAAAATAAATATTTAAATTAAAAATAGAAAATCAATATAAAATCAATGGCAAAAATCTATTTATTTTTTTCATAATATTTACATATATTTTCATGTATAATAAATACTTTAAATATTATATAAAAACTAGTATAAAAGTGGTATTTCCTAAGAAGAAGTATGCTATTCAAAACAATGTTAACTTTATCAAAGTCGGTTGCAGACACAGTGAAATATGATCTTGGGTTTATTGGAATTGATGGCATATTTTGACATAAAATTTCATCTTTCTCAAAATTAAGGACATGCTGCTATGTATTCCGTACATATACACTATTCTCATCAATCTGAACAGTGAAATTAATAATTAAATTGAATAACTACATTTTAATAAAACAATGTTTAAACTCTGTGTTTTAAAAGACATTATACAAAAAAAATTACTTTTGTGATTATACTGAAGTACAATATGCTATTATATTCCACAGCCGTTCAACCTCTCTTATATGCAGCTAGCTCATCAATAAAAAAATGCACCTGAATAAACAAATGAATATTGTTATCATAAATGTATCCATTATTTAGTTTTCTGTTGTCAATTGGCTGATTTTTTTTTGTTTCTACCAGATCTTTTAATGGTCCTTTTTTATACTTTTTGGCCTACCTGGTGAATACCAGCTAGCATGTGCATTTTATTCAATTTTTAAATAATATCCTTAATAACAATACACTAAGGAAGTGTATTGTTTTGAAAGCAACCAAAAATAATTTAACGCGGATATCATGAAATTTTGTTGAAGCAATCGAGTAAATTTGGGGTTCAGTCTATACGGTAATGCATAGGATATTGAATTAAGTTAAGACCCCATGGCAGTCTACACTTTATGAACATTTTTAGTTAATATTTTTTTCAAATCTTTTGGCTACAGTTTTTAAAGCAGTCTAAAGTTGAAACAGTTTTTTTAAAAATATGTTTTTTGCTGTTGAATTTTTGAGGTGCCAGTGTTACCACACACAATTTTTTTTAGTGGAATAGGAGACCCACAACTATCATCTCGTGTAAAAATCTATGTTGCTATGTTAGCATCAATAGTTATGGCTCATACTTTTTTGTAACTATTTTACTTTTAGGCTATGATTTCTAGAAAACAAAGTTGCCTAGATATAATAGCCTAAAAGTACAAATCATAGTCAAAAACATTTTCTTCCATCTAGTTTCCATATTTTACCCATAACATGGGAAACCCCAACCTGAACTTCTGATCCATTTTTATTTGTTTTTGTATCATCTGACACTATGTTTTGTAAATTCCATATCCCCGTAAAGTATGCGCATGGATATGGAATATCCATGCACATACTTAAATTATGAATAAAAAAAAGTATTTATTTAACAATGACTGAACAACAAATGTTTTATAATTTGTTTTTGTTCTCTGCTAAGTAGATGGTCACTAAGTCAAATCATAAAAAGAACTTAATGAACTCGTCATTAAATAGTCTGTTTCTTCACTTTCCATAAATGAAATTTGTGCTCCAAACCCTTTCACTAGAAGATGTTGGAAAATTTCTTTCTGATGTTGTCTGACATAAAAATAAATTGTGTTAAATATTCATTTAACTCAAAAATAGCTCAATTAATTTCTTCTGAATCATAAAGTATTGTAAAATATTTTTTTAATTGTTATAAAGTATCTAATTTATTTGACCAATCATGTCATCGCTAGCATATGCATGGTGATAAAACGAATGCAAATCCCATAGATTCTATATGGATAAAGGCCATATAATAACTTGACAATAGTTCCTAAATCTAAATCATGTTTTTCAAAATAAAACCGAGTAGTTTTTTAAAATCATTGCTAAATCATATTTATCACTTTCAAATTTCTAAATTAATTGGAAATTCAAGTTTGGTAGATAAGTTTTTGACTTTTTTCCAAAACTCACAATCAGAAACAGTTTTTATAAATGATTTTTTTTTCTCTGATTCTTTAATACTAGACATAACATGATCCTCCAGTAAGAGTTCAACAATAAATTTAGCATTCATTAATTTTGATAAGCTATTATATTGTTTATAGTATTACATGTCAACATGAATCAATTTTTGGTATTTTGAATTCTGTACTGTTTTTTTAATTCATTAAACCAATATGAAAGCAAATGTATTCTTTTTATAAGACAATTTGTAGAGCAGATGCCATTGATTCTTTAAAAAAATCCTTTTTGAGTAGAATTTATATGTGAGTAGAACATCCATTAACGAAAATCTTAGGAAATTTACATTTAATAATATCTCATGCACTTCCCGTTGAACTTTTGTTATCAGTTACAATAGAAACACATTTATCACTTCATAATTCTCCTACAAACTTTAGAATATCTTCAACATTAGTTTTTTCTCATTGAGAAACACCTCAAGTGTTTATAGATTTAAAAAAAAGAAGGCTGTTTACCAGAAATTATGATAACAGTTTACAAGGTGATCATTTTGTATATTTGACCAACCATCACTTGAAATGAAAAAAAAAAAAGGGCTTATCATTTTTAAGCCAATATTGTAAAACCTTCCATACTGATTACTCAGAAAAGTTAATTTTTTTTGATGGCATATAGTTTAAGTAAGCTGGTCTCAAAGCACCTATAAAGTTTTTAAAAGCTGAAGAGTTTATAACATTAAATGGAATTCAAAAAACAAATTTGCTTCAATTGTCCAACCAGTTTAATATGGCAGCATTTTTGTTAAGTTCTTTTGGAATATCAGATCCACTTTGTTGACTTACCACTGACTTATTAATACCACTATTTATATCAACTTTATTATTTACTTTATATATATATTTATTTATATCAACTTTATTATTTACAGATTTATCAGAAAATAACTATTTTTCTTCATCAGATATACCAGAATAACTGGCTTTTTTATGGCTGCGTAATTTATCACATGACCAATAAACTTAAATGGCACATAGAATGCATTTTCTTTTTTTAATGAAAATGTTCTTGCTTTTTAGATATCTTTCTTTACATTTTTTAGCTTTCAACTAAATCAATGTTTTAATAACAACAGTAAAACATGAATTTTGAAATCAGTGTATTAATATAAATTCAATAGCAACATTTTAATGTTATTTATTCAAACAAGTAACAAAAACTTTAACACTTTTGTTGTTATATAAAACTTTTTTACTTCTAAAAGACTTAAATTTTAACTTTAACTTTTATGTAAAATTGTTATATTTTTACTTATACAGTATTGAACAAAACATTTGCAACCAACATCAAACAATGCTAAAAAGTGCTCCTAATTTTACATGTCTTAAAAACGAAACGAATTATATTACCACAGCAAACAGTTCAGGAGTCTGGAGTCATAGCATGCCATGACATGAGCAATTAGCTGACTGGTGACAGCACACAGGCAAAATTTCGTTGACAAACGCCATTTTGCAGCGGACAAAACAAGTGCAACTTTTTTGGTTTGTTTCATTTTCTTAAGTCTGGTCCGTGTCAACGTCACGGAAGTTTTTTAATAATTAAAGGAAGTATCCAGAAGTTTGCAGAAGTTTCCAGAAGCATGCAAAAGTAATGCAGAATGTAACACGTAAGCCTTGAGAAGCATGATTATTTATAATTATTATTTTTATGACTTCAAGTGCAAAAATGGCTCCCGACAGTTTTGGATTTTTTTTATTTTATTTATTTTAATTCACCTCCTCAAGGCCGAGAAGGCCACTACAGACGAGGAGGCTACTTATTTGTGGCTATAACCAGGGTTGGCAAAAACCCGGGTTTTTTTAAAAAAACCCGGCCCAGTGGGTTTTTTTGGGTTTTATTGGGTAAATTTGGGTTTTTTTGGGTATAATTTTTATTTTGTCTCTGTAAAAAAAATTTTTGTGTTTTTGTTTATTGATATTGAAAATTAGTTTTTTTCTACTTTAACTTTATTTAAAATATATTTAATATATTGTTGTTTAATTATTTATAACAAGAATTTTTCAAATTATTTTGAAAAAGATTTTTAAATATAATTTAAAACTGTAATAGGAAAAAAAAATTTCACGCTAAATCTATATGTATTGATTTATTTTAAATTTAAAAGTATTATTTTATATAATTAAAAATGTCAATGAGAAAATGTGAAAAAGAAGGCTTGAAAATGGGAGGTAGTAACTGAAGTTTCAATTAAACTTTGAACTTGAAATTCAAATGAACAAACTTGTTCCTCTGCGCAGCGGCCTTGTTTATAAAGATTCGTGTTTAGGAGTTAAAGAGTTTTTTTTCTTCTTTAAATCAATTCACCTCCTCAAAGCTTATGGTCACTACAGGCGAGGAGGCTACTTATTTGTGGTTATAACCCTCTCTCAACTCTATACCTCCGAAACATGAACCTTGACGAACAAGGCCGCTGCGCGGAGAAAGGAGTTGAGCGCGGTACTGCCAGGGACGTGGTGGGGATCAAACTCGGAACCTCTCACTTATGAATTGAGCGCTCTACCACAACACCACTACTGCAAAAGAGTTGAGAGAGGGTTGTAACCACAACAAGGTAGCCTCCTCGACTGTTTTGTTGGCTTCTCTGGTCACTACTACTCATTTAAATTCAACTTGGGAGGTGAACAACATTATGTAATAAAAATCTCAATCGATAAAAATATTTGAATAAAAATTGTAATAATGTATTTCCAAATAATGATTCAAATAATAGTAAACCTGCTCTGATAGCTGTTATTGTTGGTTATAATAGTTAATAATAATAGTTAATAATAATTAAGTTAATAAAAATAGTTAATAATTATTTTAGTAAATAATATTATAGTTATAATGTTAAAGTTGGTTATAATAGTTCATAAACTTATTAAATATCTTTAAAAAAACCCAATAAAACCCAGATTTTCCAGGGTTTTATTGGGTTTTTTTAGGCGGGTTTTTTTGGGTTTTATTGGGCGGGTTTTTTAATGCCAACCCTGGCTATAACCCTCTGTCAACTCTATAACTTTGAAACACGAACCTTGACGAACAAGGCCGCTGCGCGGAGAAACGAATTGAGCGCGGTACTACCAGGGACGTGGTGGGGATCGAACTCGGAACCACTCGTTTATGAAGCGAGCGCTCTACCACTACACCACTACCGCATTTGGATTGGAACTAAGAAAGAAAATTATTAGCGATTACGTAAGTGGAAATATTTATCACAAAAAAGTATTTGTGATAAATATCGCGTGAAAAAATGGACCATATCAAGACCATGTTCCAAATATTGTTTTACAGGGAAGTTGGCAGCAGATAACAAAGGTGGAAGACCGCGTTCCACCACTTCTAGAGAGGATTCTATGATCGTCAGATCCGTCAAGAAGGATCCCTGGATATCATCAGTCGAGATACAAAAGCAATTAGAGCTGCCTGTATTGGGCCGAACAATCAGACGACATGCTGTTGAAGCCGGATTGTTTTCTCGACGCCCTGCAAAGAAACCGCTGATTTCACTAAAGAACCAAAAAAAAAAAGACTCCTGTTTGTTACATCTCATATTGACTGGAATGTGCAGAAATAGCAAACTGTCCTGTTCAGTGATGAATTGAAGTTCAACATCATTGGGAGCGATGGGATTTGCCGTGTATGTCAACCGGCCGGAAAACGCCTTGATTTACATTACTGCCATAAGAGCATGAAGCATGTTGGAGGCAATGTAATGGTCTGGGGGTGTTTTTCTGCTAACGGTCTAGGTCCAATACATCGAATCGATGGAATAATGGACAGTTTCATGTATAAAAATATTCTGAAAGATGTTTTGTTACCTCATGCTGAATGGAATATGCCAATAAAATGGGTTTTTCAGCAAGACAACGATCCGAAACACACTGCAAAAGTAGTCAAGCAGTGGTTTCAAGACAACCACCTGTCGGTGATAGATTGGCTGCCTTAATCTCTGGATCTCAACATTGTCGAGAACCTGTGGGAGATCGTCAACGCAGAATTAATCATGAAGGTGTTCGTAATAAGGATCAACTGTTTGAACAAATCCAAAAGGCCTGGGCAGTGATTCCACAAAGTTTCATTGATCACCTGATCGAATCTATGCCTTAAAGATGCAAGGCTGTGATCAACAACAAAGGATTCGCCACGAAATATTGATAGCGAAATACAGCTTGGTCAACATTTTATGGAGTTGCATTTGTTTTGTCCAGAAGGAAATCAACCTTTTGTAATACTTTTGATTAATTTATTAATTTTCGTGTACAAATAATGAACTTTGTGATGAATAAAACTTGAAGAACGTTGTCTCTAAACAGTTACATAGTTATCTCTCTAAATTGAAAAAATGCAGCACTTTTATATAAAGAAACTAAATTAGCATTATTTGGTTGCACTTGTTTTGTCCGATACTGTATATTTTTTACTAGTTTATATATTTATATATATAAATTAGTAAAAACACTTATTTAATTTTTGTGTTCAACAATTTCTTTCTCCATCAGTAAGTTCATCAAGAAGCCTTCCTGATGAACCTACTGATGAAGAAACAAATTGTTGAACACAAAAGTTAGATTTATTATTTAAGTTATTATTGCTCTTTTGTTTAAGAACATTAGGCGCGCTAATGTGTTAATTCTTATATTTTTATTTTTATTTAGTATCCAGATTATCCTGTTGCTGTTTATCAGGTTAGTTTTAATATTTTATATTTTTATATTTTCTTTATTATATATATATATATATATATATATATATATATATATATATATATATATATATATATATATATATATATATATATATATATATATATATATATATATATATATATACATATAAATATAAATATATATAATTTTGTGAAAGAAGTACTTAAAGATCAAGTTTGTTGTTCGATTTTTTAAGTCTTTTTCATTAAAATTATGTCAACATTTTTTGTATTCAAATTTTACCCTTTTAAGATAAAAAAGTCTATTTGCGTTTTACTTCTTTTTAGGTATCCGGTGAATACGCCATGCTTTATCATGCCAGTCAACAAGGTGCTTTTGACATCAAACAGGCTGTCATAGAGTCATTACATTGCATGATGAGGGCCGGTATTAATCATTTTTTGAAACTGTTATTATTAAATAAAAATATTAGTAAATGGAAAATAATTCGTTTTTTTTTTTTTATTTGTATTTTTCAGGCGCTACTGTTTTAATTTCATATTTTACTCCACAAGTTTTGAAATGGTTAAAAGAATAACATTTGTTGGTTTTGGCTGTTGCATTATGTTGTGTTATGATATGCTTGGCTGTTACATTGGTGTTGAAACGTTTTTGAATTATCATTTCGAGTTCTAATCAGTGACGTTTTTGTTTAGTCAACTTGGTTTAAGATATTGAATCTAGATTTGAGTTAGATATCCGGAATTAATTGTGCGTTATTGGTCAATATTGGTTGTATGGGTTTAGTTATTCAGTTTATAAGATGACTGTTATATTGAAAAAACTCTTAATATTGATAGAAAATTAAGAAGAAAAATCTCATGTGTTATGAAAACCAGACAGTCGCAAATACTGAATGTTTATAATTACTTTCCTTTTTTTTACATATATTGTTAAATAATTAGTTTAAACAACAAATACAAAAAATTTTTAAAATTTTGTTTTTCAGCCGTGACGCTACTTTTGTTGTTCAGCCGTGACGCTACTTTTGTTGTTCAGCCGTGACGCTGCTTTAAAAATCTTAAGAATTTTGAGTTCAAATTTTGATATCAAAATATTTAATTTTTTGAATATAACTTTTCACTATAAACTATATAAAGTTTTCTCTTTTTTTTTTTTATGAAAAAAAAAAACAATTAAGTATTTTTCCTAAAACGTCGTAACAATGCAGGTAAGCATCATGTGTTGATTAAGCAAGATTTTTCTAAAATAAGGTTTTTTTCAGTGATATTAGGCTATTTCTCTTCCGTAAAAATTATAAAACCAAACCACTTCAGTGTGCTCAATTGTAACTTAATTTAGTTAATGTACCATATATTATATACTATAGTATAATTATAATTAGTTATTATAAGTAGAGTATAATTATTTATTAGTTTTTTAGTGTAGAATTAGAATAAATATATCACTCTTAAATAGTACGATTTAAAAACTGACGGTTTTTGGGAGAAGAAAAACAAATGTCTGGAGTGTTTAATAAAAGAGGTACTTAAAATAAAATTTTCCAGTTTGATCACAAAATAAATGATTTCAAAACTTTAGTAAGCATTACTTTCAACAATGAATCTTCGTTGTTGAGAGTAAAGCTTTAAGTTTTTTTACCTAAATTTTTAACCTGCTTTTTATCTATTTAAATTTAATTACCTAAATTTTTTACCAACATCACAAAACAAATAGATAATATAAGTAACATAAGAGTTGTCATAAGTAAAAAAAATACACACACAATAGGTTTACCTAGAATGCTTCAAAAAATTTTGTTGTAGTTCTTTAGATGACCTTAGTGCATATAAATTAACTTGCATTATAAGATTGTAGAGTGACTTTCGGCAGACATCAAACTATTTCATGAAAGAATATGGTCCATTGACGAACAATTTCATTTGTTATTTTCAAACCTCCACGATTAATTTTAGATATAATCACCGAATTCTTCGTAATAAAATTTAGCTTCTTCTTGCTCTGCAACTTCATTTCGCAAAATATATCCAGCTATATATACTATTTCTCTTTTTGTATTTATTTGTACAATCTTGTCTATCTCAGGCAAATTGACTTTGACAGGCACAATCTTTTCTAGCTCAGGCAAGTGTAATTTATCTTTATTCATAAATAGGGTATTTTTTATTAACTGTTAAATTATCAATTTTTTGAAAAAGAAAAATGAAAAAAAAAATTCTAAATATAAATGATAAAGTAATTAAGCACTCGCTTTATTTTTCCTAAATTCTCTAACTATAAGTTTATCATATTTTATAGAAGAATATTTAGCATTTTTCTATGTATCTTTATTTCTTCTATGAATTTTTTCCATGTGACCGTTGTTTCAAAAAAGAAGTCTTCGATGTATATTCCTGTTCCTTTAAGTCGGTTACATGAACATAGTACTTTTATTTGTTATGTGGTATTTTAACAACAGTTGTTCAAGTTTTATTTTCTTCTTTTTTTCCAATTTTGTGAACCCTTTGTGAGATCCAAGTGGGAAACTTTTTAGCTATCGCTATAGATTTATGGTTATGTTTTTTCAAGCAACAAAGCTTCAATGTATTGTTATCAACATTTTAAAATCGCTTACTAAAAATCCGCGATACGTGTTAACATATCGTTATGGCGACAGTTTTAGTCACATAATTTTTTCCAGGATGTTATAGCTAGCTACAATATGTAACGAACGATATATCAAAGTAATATCGTTAGATCACTAGATACAAAGTTGCAATATCTATAGATATCTAGATCAAGATAGCGACATTTGGTAATAAAATCACAATGTTTTAAGTTCAACTATTGCTCAAAAACTGTTAAAAAGCTAATTTATTAGCTTTTTGCTAATAGTAATTATTGTAAAATAATTGTATAAAAATGTAAAATAATAGTATAATTAACTATTGCTCAAAAACTGTTAAAAAGCTAATTTATTAGCTTTTTGCTCATAATAATGCTAATAATTAGCTAATTGCTATTTAATTCTAAAAGTATTGGTAGCGCTTTCAAATAATTATTTTTCATAACTTTTACACATATTTTAACAACTTTTGGGTTTGAGGAAATGGTTACTTTTTTTTATTATTATTATTATTTATTTGCCAGAATATGTACAAGGTAAATTTACATTGAATATATTACCGGCATGATTTCTAGAAGATCACAGGATCTTATCATGAAGACCTTTACAATCTATTTAACAAAAAGAATACAATATTCTAATATTCTTCACAGTCTATATAATAAACAAAAGTATAAATCAAAATAAATAAAAAAAAACAACTTAAATATTAAAAATAGATATAAATATTTTGTGTTGAAAAGATAATTTCTTTTACTTTCCGTTTAAAAGAAGAATAAGACCATTTAAAAGAAAAATCGAAGTTAGGTAAAATTATTTTATTCCAATGAGAAGGACCACGATAAGAAATACAAAACTGGTCAAATTTAGTTTGGCAAAATAGCTCTTCGATACGTTTACTGGCACGAAGATTATATTTGTTTTTAGGTTTCAAATTATAAAGATTTATAAATACATTAGGTGATATATTTTCTTTACATTTAAACATAAAATATTCAAAACATTTAGTTCGTAAATATTCAAAACTTTCATTTCTTTAAGAAGTGGTGTTGAGCTTGAAAAACAATTCGCAAAATTAATTGTGCGAGCTGCGTGTTTCTGATGTCGATAGAGAGAATTAAGTTTGGTTTTGTGAGCGCTTCCCCATATAATATTGGCATAGTTTATATGGCAATGAATAAATGAATAATTTAGTTGTGTTAATTGATGTTTATTTAATAAATGTCTAACTTTATATAGAACTCCGATGCTTTTAGCAATTTTCATTGAAATATTATCAGTTTGTTGCCTCCAAGTTTTCATCTATTATAAATCCTAAGAATTTTGTATTTTTTTCTCTTTTTATTACTGTACTGTCAATATATAAGTAAGGCAAGATATTTTGAATTTTCTTTTTTTTAGAAATTGGATGAAAAAGTATCCATTTTGTTTTATCGGTATTTAAAGACAATCTATTTTTTTTGAACCAATATGAAATATTTTTAAGTTCCTCAGTCATATTGATAAAAAGTATTTTAATATCTTCGTTTGACTGAAATAAATTCGTATCGTCAGCAAAAATTATAGTCGCTAAATTAGAAGCTTTGTAAAGATTATTTATGTATATTAAAAATAAGAGTGGCCCAAGTATGGATCCTTGGGGAACACCACGTGTTATATTCGTTAAAAATTGAGGCAAAGATTCTTTGTTATAAACAAATTGTTTACGGTTGCTTAGATAACTTTCAAACCAGTTTAAGGTTACATCTCTTATACCATAGCTTTCTAGCTTTTTCAATAAAATATGGCGATTAACAGTGTCAAAAGCTTTTGACAAATCAATAAATATGCCAAGATTTAATTGAGAATTCTTAAAAGAGTCGGCAATACTGCGCGTTACTTAGAGAATAGCGTGTTCAGTAGAACTTTTTTTTTGAAAACTAAACTGATTTTTATAAAGAAGTTTATTGTCAATAAGATAAGGGTACAATCTGTTGTACATTATTTTTTCTTATATTTTTGAAAAGACTGGTAGAACTGAGATAGGACGATAATTTGTTACGTTTGTAGGGTCGCCTGTTTTAAAGATTGGAGTTATTTTTGCTATTTTCAAGCAATCTGGAAAAGATCCTTGAGTAATAGATGCTTTAAAAATTTTAAAGAGGATATCGTTAATCGCATCAAAAGAGTCTATTATAATGTTCCTATTTATATCATCAGGCCCAGTTGCTTTATTTCTTTTTATTGCTTTATATGCTATTTTAAATTCACTAAATGTTAGATTTGAAAAGTTCAGAGTTGAATTTGTTAATAAAATAAATTCATCAACGGAGTTATTGTCTACATAAGGAATTTTATGTGATAGACTTTGTCCTATTGTTGAAAAAAAATTGTTATATTCGGTGGCAATTTCCTTCGAATCGTTAACTATTTTATTTTTAATTTTTATTGCAGCCGGCATAGATTTTGTGCATGTCTTATGTTTACTAGTTATATCCTTCATTATTGGCCAAACTAGCTTTGAATTATATTTGTGCTTCATAAGCACTCGGACTTGCTTATGAAGCACAAATATAATTCAAAGCGAGTTTTTTTTTTCAAAGTAAATTTTTTTGGCTGTTTTGCGAAGTTTTTCAAATAAATTTTTATAGACTGTGTAAGTGATTTTATGCTTTTCTGATTTAGTTTTTAGATACTTAACAGAGTTTTTGCTTTATTTTTGAGGACTTTTTAATTCCTTTAGTTATCCAAGGACAAGATAGGTCTTTGGCGTTAAGAATTGTTTCACGCAATGGAAAGTTTGCGTTGTAGGTTTTATAAAAAGTTTGAAAAAAAGAGTTATAGAAGAGGTTTATATCGTCATTGAAATTTACATAGCTTCAGTCTTGATTCAAAAGTTGCTCTTTAAATAAATTTAGGTTAATGTAACGTTTTTTAATTGTTACCTTTCCATGCATACTTGGTTTGCTGTTTGCGCTTATGCAGAAAAAAATAGGAAAATGGTCAGAAACATCGGTTTTTACAATGCCTTTTTTAAGCGTTGTATTAAAAATGTCATTGGTTAGAATGTTGTCAATTAAAGAGGACGAATGATTTGTTATTCTAGTAGGTTTATCAATAATGGGTATTGTTCCTGTTTGGAATAAATAATTATAAAAATTTGTTATATTTTGTTTTTTATTATAATAGAAACAGTCTAAATTGAAATCGCCAAGTATGTAATTTTTTTTCTTTTCTTGGTTAGTTTTTTCTATTAAATTACTTATTAGATATTTGCTTACGTACTCAGTTCTTCCAGTTGGTGGCCGATAACAGCAGCTTATAAAAATTTTTTTAGATTGTTTGTTTATTATTTTAACCGTTAAAATCTCAATATTTTCATCAGAAACAC